CATGGGTATTTTGAACATTTCACAAAGGACAGTCTCCCAATATTGACACCAAAAAGCAGCGTTTTATGAATGCAATATCTAGTCAATGATAAAAAGTGGAGTGAAATGGCAAAAATGTAAATTAAGTTGGACACATGTCAGTTTTTTGAGCACACTAAATTGGACACTTGTCAGCATTTTAAGGCCACTAACTCTTTCATATATAGATAAGAGAGGTGTGAAGACGCTAATCTTATTTGTAATTTAAAATAATATAATTTATTGAGATAGTTCCAAAAAAAAGCTGTCGCAGTTTTGTTGATTCTCGTGTTCCATACGAAATTGTCTTTTCAATTCACGTTCTTATTATCTCGGACATTTTTGTGCCTTTTGAGTTGAAGAAAATACGGATTGAACTTTTCATGGGGAATAACTGAATATTATCTTGCTTTATGAAAAATCTGAGGCAGAAATGAAAAATCCTATGAGATTTCAGGGTGTAACTGAGTATGAAATAAAATTCAGTTTTATCTTATCAATTAAGGTTTATCTAATTGAAATATGAATTATAAAAAAAAAATCATTTCATTTTTTTCTCTACAATCCCATTAACATAATTATATATATATATATATCATATATTTTACAATAAAAAAAATTATTTATCCACTCGTATATATTTAACTACTATCCACTATCAATCATTATTTTATTTCTATATTACATTAACTTTAATCATTATAATTTTATCTCATACTCATTTACCATCTCATATTTTTTCTCTTACTCATTTATATTTCACCTGTTTGGTTCAATTTTTCAAGAGGGATGAGAAGAAAAATTTTGAATTGAAATCCCTCCAAATAGTGTTTATGGCTCCTCTCCAAAATTGGGAGGATTTGGAGGGGAAGGAAAATGTAAAGAAATGAAATTNCATTTTAAATAAATTTTCCTCCCCTCTAAAATTGGAGGGATTTAGAGGGGAAATGTAATAAATTGATGTGAAAATATTATTTTGTCCCTACTTTCAATTGTTTTTAATTTTTTATCTTATTTTATTAAAGGTAATAATTTTATTTTCTTTCCTTTACGCTTTTAACCAAACAAGATTTACCATTTTCTCTCATTTTCCCTCCTAAATAATCCATCAAAACAAGGTAAAATTATTTTACATTAACTCTCCTCCCCTCCCCTCCCTTTCCCTCTATTAAAATCTCTCCCCTCCCTTTTCCTCCATTGAACCAAACACACACTAAGAATGGGCAAAAAGTTGAAAAGTACACGCCGTATCCAAATTTCCCTGGCAAGAAATCTCTCGAGCAGGCTAATAAAGTCACATCGTAATATTACCGTCTCACCAGTTTTTCCGGTGCGTGGCAGAAGACTGGTCTTCCAAGGGCATTCCGGTATGTTCACAACATCACAGCAATACAATGCGATGAGTCGGTCAATTGCAAGGGCATCATTTGTAAAAACAATGGAAATTCAGAAGTATTTTGGTCCAAAAAAAATGCCTCAAACCTACAACATCTCATATTTTTGCTTATATGTCAGAGGGAAATATTTATTCATATTTAAAAAAAAACTTTATTTATTAATTTTGTTGATTTAAAATATAGTTAACACTTTTTAAGTGGTAGGTATAGGTATTAGGTAATTCTATTTGGTAGTCAAAATTTGTATGACAAAAGAAAAACAAACTACGCGTGAGAAGAATTTTCATTTTCAGATTGAGTTTAATTCTATTTTCACATTGGACAGTCAAGCTTCCTGTAAGATGGTTTTGGGTGTTGGAGAGCTTTCGGGGTTGCATGGTAATCTTATTCGGGGTATCCGGGAGCTGCTAGAGAGGAATTGGGATGTTGATTTGCGTTATATCTGTCGTGAATCTAATTTTGCAGCTGATCACATGGCGTCTTTAGCGTCATCCAGCCCGAGAGGACTTCACATCTTTGAGGCGCCTCCAATGAGTTTAAATGTTTGGTTAAATCATGATTTTATGAGTATCTCATATCCACGTAGCGTAGTTGCTTAATTTGCTTTCCTTTGCAAGCACCAGGCATTGAAGTCCTTTAGGCAATGGGATATGCTTCCATTGTTTCCAGTGGATCCCTTTGTGGCCTTCTTTTTTGGAATCCCACCAGATATTTGCAAAAAGTCCTTGGGAAATTTGATATTTGCACTCATTCTTTGATTATAAAATATACAGATAAACATACAACAAACTTTTTTCCACTCTTAATATAATTAATCAAATCCACAACATGTAAAAAGAAAAAAAGTTCAACACAAAGCTTCATATATTTCAACATATACCATATGATTTCACTTCTCAAATTGTAAGAGACAACAATGAGTTACAAAGATAGATACATTTCAAGAGCAAACCTAATAAACTTTAAACTCAGCCACAATTCCGCACAAAGCAACACCACAAAAACCACACCAACAAAATGTGTCAAAAAAAAGAGTACAAATATCTCCATCTCAAATCGACCTCGGCTTCAGAACAATCGTCGAGTGTTTCAATATATGCAGACTAAATTGCCCCCCCTTCTCAGTCGTGTCGATCTTCGACAGTCCAGGTGGCGGAAGGAGCTCGAAATTCTGCACGAGGCGGCCAATGGTAATCCCAAGAATCGGGAGCGCGAGTATAATTCCTGGGCAGCTCCTACGGCCCACACCAAACGGTAAGTACCTGAAGTCATTTCCATTGGCCTCAACTTTGGACTCCTCCTCAAAGAACCTTTCGGGCCTGAACTCTTCGGGCTTTTTCCAGTGGGCCAGGTT